TTTGAATATTGTAATAACCTTTGGAAAAAAAAACATTTTTCTTGACCCAGTGAGGAAACTGAAAGCGTGACTTTAAAATAATTTGCATGCGGTGTGTGCTATGTGTATGCAAATCTTTGTGTAAACTTATGTGAGGGAATAAATTGTTATATTAAAATCTCTACCAAAACACAAAACCGTTATCGAAGATCCAGACAACATCATACAGGATTTTAAAACTGTGAGGTTAGGTTTTACTTTATAACAAAATCGATATACTACGTGCGCTCCCTTCAATCACCGCACAGACAAGACAAGATCGTGGTTTATTTCACTGTTTATTTCTGCGACTGAAGCTTCGGTGAAATTCCGATTGTGCTGCAGCTGTTCGGCTCTTTCGGTCTGTTTTCCCCTTGCCTGATAGAAGATTTATTTACGCATAAGGATTTCAAACGGGCACTGTTTTCAAAATAATATAAACTTGTCGATGAAAATAAAATTGTTATGAGAGACGATTTCTCACCTTGCTGTTTGCACGCGCTCCCCCTGCTTTGCCGGTAACGAACTCCATCAAATATATAAACACTTCTGATGGACGAATTTTTTTTAGTTAAGCAAAGCCAGGTATGAACTACAGATCTCTTTCACTATGAGATAAAAACATGCATATAAACCAAACAGTACGTAAAATCTTTGAGAAGCAGGAAATTAGTCGCCGCTCAAAGTCGGCTAGATCGCACGTTCGTCTCCGAATCGCGATAAACTTCTTGAAATTGTCTTGTGAAGCCAATAGCAAGCATCTAAGGCCACTATAAGATCTTAAAAATTCTCGAAATCTCTCTCTTCCGTAATGTTTTTCGGAAAAGGCAGCAGTGTTTTGATCCCTGGGTTTGATTCATTTCTCTTACGAGATGCAAACTCGACCGTGTCACGATTGAAATGAGGCGTAGTAACAGTTTTACCCATGAACCTTTGTGGGTCGTGACGCACACCGCCTGGTTTTCATGTCAAGCACAGAACAATAACCATTCCTAGCGGTTTTAACCTGATTTCAGCCGAGATGGCGACCATTGTTGGTGACGTCACAGGCCTCCAGCGTCGCTACCACCCATAAAATATACCCCGTCTTTTTGGGAAGATCTAAGTCTTTCCTCTGATGGCAAAATGGTTTCGAAATACTACAACATATCAAAAACTCGGGGAGGGGGCCCATCCATTTATTTGCATTCATTGCCAACTTGTTACTTAGTTGTTTGTGACTCCTGAGCAAAAGCGTTGCTTCGCAATAAAGAGGGCAGAGTACAGATGTAGACGGCCTAAGACTTATGAAAAAGAAGAAACGTGTGCGGCCAGGGCTATACCTAAGTCTACTATAACCGATTTAAACAAATGGGGAGATTTTTGGTGATTGGCGAAGAGCTCGAATTCTTAAATTGTAACGGACGTTGGAACCGGGCTGTCTCTCCGTTAAACATTATGATCTGCACAATGTTCAGCCCTTGGAAATTTCGTTTATAGTTCAAATGGATGCTTCAGCCTTAATTACTGGCTGACAAAGTTTATCCAAGAGCCAAAACGTTATACCAGAAAGTGTGTGGAATACGACGTTACATCGAGGTCAAGAATGAGCAAGTTGGATTTGAATCCTCTTGATGCTTCGGACAAAAAGTGCAATTGATGTGCATGCACGTGGCACTTGTCATCATTTGTTGAAATGCTGAGATAAATGTTAGCAGTCAGATAAGCTTGTTCTAAAGTGTATTGCAACTCTGCGATTAATTAATGGGTGGATTCGTTTGCAACATACGCGTATAGCTATTGCATTTGCCTGCTGGACATTTCTACGGCCTAAAGACACTAAAATATTTTAGTGGGCAAATACGACAGCTATACGCGTATGTTGCAACAGAATCCAACCAAGAGTTTTTCATCTTCACATGCGGGTTTGAAATAGTTTCCAAACACCTTTGGTTTTTACCTCGTTTTTCATTGAGTTTCTAAACTCATCCACCTGGCGCTGGGCAATCTGGTTGGGTTACAGCATCTTGAATAATTAATGAGTTTGAGAAGAAGAACAAGAACAGCGTACACGAAAAGAGGAGGAGGACTAGAAGAAAGATGAGAAGGAGTAGATGGAGGAAAAGCTTACTTCCGTTTGCTGCCCTTTTTTTTTCACATATATGACTCCAACAGTCTTATTTTATATCCAGGTTATTATTCAGGAATCAACAATTCTCCAGAAAAGCATCAGATAAGCCTTATGCTCTTAAACGACATATATGTTGTGGTTCAATTTTTTCTTTGGGTTAAATTTTGTTCTAAACTCATTACCATACCACAAAACAAAGGGAAATATACTTAAAACCAAGAAGAAAATTGAACCTCAACATGTATAAGGAAATAATTAGAAACTGAAAGTTTTGAAAGTTTCGAAAGAGTTACCTTTAAAGTGTCACCTTCCGTAAACAAAAAATTGTGGCCAAAGAATAACTGGACTAATTTCAATTTTTTCGTCAGTTCGAAAATGAAAAAACTGAATATCACGAAAAAAAAAGAGAAATAGCAGCAAACAAACGAAAAATGTAATCATTTTTAATTATTGACATGTTTTGTAGTTGTTGTTGTTTAACATTTTTATAAGTAGACTCTTTTCATGCAAGGTGTCGGTAAACGTTCTATAAGTCGAAATGATCGGTCTGTCAAACGCAATGAATCGATCATGGATATGAAACTTGTTTTGATGCGTCTCCTTTCCTTGCACCCCCTTCCCATATCGTTATTCTGATGGTCAAGGTTCTCTTTTTCGTGGGGGATTAATAACTAATGTAACTTGACCTAGAAAACGACAAGAAAATAGCAAGCTCATTTCTTTTTGGATATTGCAAAGAGTATTTACCTCAACGTCTAGGAAGGACGTTAGATGACGTCAGAGAGTCAGAAGCCATCGGGCTTTTTATGTCTCCAGCTGCCCAAATAATGAAGATGAAGGCCGAAAAGAAACAAGCAATTAAATGCTTAAAGGCATTCTAGTTGGGGGGGCGGGGGGCGGGGGGATACAGGAGACATGTTTTGACAAAACATCATTCACGAACTTTATTACTTCACAAGAACTAATGGTAGCGCGTAGGGATAGACCTTTTTAGCTTGTTTGTTCTGTATGTTTTTCCCATTTAAGACCACGTGATGGTAGCCCAGAGAACTGTTTCTTTCAAATGTCGTCCGTGCACGTGCATCCACGCGCATATGTATGCATAATTAATGAAAATTCACAAGGCGAATTCCCTGATTTGGGAAAACAAAACACACAAGCTAAAAAAGTCTGTTGTCAATTTTTTTTGCTTTTTTTTTGGCGTGCGATACTGAAATGTAGGAAGGAATCACACACACACACACACAAAGAAAAGTGAATCATGACATGGAACGCAAGCAATATATGATCATATATAAATAAAATATTATGTTCTTTCTTTCTTCCCTTCTTTTTTTTTTGTTTTGAAACGTTACTAAAAACAAGCCAAGCTTCTTGCACACTGCATGATGGTTAAAATACTTAAATAAATAATAATGCTTTCATTGATTCTTATTTGTTTTTATCTATTTATTTATATTTTCCTGTTATGTGCGGGATTTTCTTAAATGAAACCAAAAGCTCCTGATGAAACTGATAACTTGTCTCTGGATCCGGAAAAAAGAAAATTTATAATGAACGTTTGAAAGTTTATTATTAGGAACTAATTTCCAAATGCATGACTGTGATACGCCCAGTCTTGAATCACGTGAATGTTGCGGTTCTTCAGTGTAATGATATAAAATGGGATGTGTAACCAATGTTTGTTTGAATCTGATGTTAATAAAAAGGAGACCAACGTGAGTCCACCATCAAGTAAGTAAAGTGTTAATGTTGTTTTTGGCTCGGCTTACGGCTGTCATTATAATTTTGACAAATTTCACTTATTTATTTCTTTTTTGCCCATTGTTACATTCTTGTAGTTTTTCAAAGAGGCTCACACGCATAGAATAATAACCAAAGAATTTTAGAAACAGTTTCGAAGAATGTTTGCTTTTAAAAGGAGCTCTGAAGATTTTGCTAATTTTTAAGGGCGTTGTGGTTGAGTGTATGACTTTGTTTACAAAAATGTCATTGAAATGATACGAGGACAACTTTCAATTTTACAAAGAATGAATACTAGGCTTATTCCCACAAACGTTAACTACTATTTCGGCCGTTTTCATTCTCTAATGGCTGATAGATTCTCAAGTATTACATGCAAAGAGATGATAATTTTTGTTTAAAATGATATATATATACATTTTTGAAAAACAGGTCAAACGCATCATGAGTGAAACCTGCAACAATCCTAGGGTGTTTGAGGATGGTAAAAGTTATCGTGTGTGGTCGCTAACTCGTCAAGGCTTCTTGAAGTTGACTACAAATAAAGATGGGGATCCAAGTGTCGAGTGCAGTGGCACTGGAAAGGAAGACTCGAGTAATACAGAAATCTTAATGATTGTTATTTCTTGGGTGCCCAATTTCCTCTAGTAAGCGTTGCTATAAGAAGTTTTTGTTGGCTTTTGATAAGACATTTGAAGCTTTTTCTTTTCGTTTTCTGCGTTCCATTTCAAATTAGTAACTTGCCTGTCGCATGTTCAGTGCTCTCTTTAAGCGGAAGATCGTGGGAGCGAAGATCTCTATCACCCTATATTCAGTGTAGAGTGATTTATTTATCTATAGGTGAATTTTTATGCAGTGAAGTGATTCTTAAAGTATAAAGGACAAAGAGATAGCAATATATGTTGATAAGACAAAGGGGAAAATTAAAAAGTAAAAGCAACAAGATAATTTCACTGATTTTATGATGTAAGGACCTACTAAGCCACCCGCAGATCAACAAAATTTGTTATTATTTCTATCTGCTCATTTTCTCTATTATTTTATTGTTAATTCAGGCAAAATCACTGCCAGAGATATGGGATTTCGGCTTGAGTTTCAGAAAGACGGGAAAAAGTATGCTCTTGATGCTACTACGGACAATGGCACTGTATCAGTGAAGGTAAAGAATGCTACGAACCATGCTCTACTGAGCTTACAAGTTAGTTAAAAAATGATTTAATTAAGGCTTCAGTACCCCATTCAGAAGAAAACGTGTGAGGATCTGAAAACCGCAATAAAAAAAAAAAAAAAAAAAAAAGAAGAAGAAAGAAAGGAAAAAAAAAAAGAACAAAAAACAGAAATCGACGACATACGGCGCAGATAACTTCATAACTCATCCAAATGTATAATCAAAGTTGAAGCTATGGAAACTCGTGGATACTTTGTTTAGAAAATTAGTTAAGAGAAGTCGCGCGATAAAATACAATATGAAAAATATTTTAAGTTTATTTGAAATGAGCCAACAACAACTACTGTACCTACTACATCCAAATAGAGAATTTTACATTTTCGATCGTTAATGGAATAATATGTACTATCGGATAACAAGGATGTCTAGGAGGTAAGTCAACAAACGGTTTATTAATTTCTTGCTAAGGCCCAGCTATTTAACAATTATTCCTCGAGCCCTCATGGGCTCTGAGTCCATGAGGGCTCGAGGAATAATTGTTTTAGTAAAATCCAACTAATTGGTCAAAAATATCGAGACAAAACAACTTAAGTTAGCAAAACGCGATTCAGCAGCCATTGTTTCGGTCTACAAAGCTGAGGCACTTTCCGCTACCAGTGGCCATAACATATAGCCTAGTAGTAGCTCAACCAATCAAAATGCAGCATTGATAATAGACCACTAGTTGGATTTTACCAAAAAAAAAAAGATGTTTTTAACACATGACACACCGGCTACGGGTGCGAAACGATTACCGTACACGCAATGTTTAAGATACCTATTTGAGTATAAAGAAATGTAAAAAAGCGGGTCGAGAATTCAGAAAAAAAACGGAACGGTTATCGAATAGGACCATTTAATACTTTTCTGCCGATTAAAATAGTGTATTCAATTGCGGGATATTCCACTAGAAAACACTTCTTAGATTCGGCTACAGGCGTATGTTGTAAATAACGGTTCAGCGAAAAATAACTCAGAAACAACATAACATTATGCGTAACAAAACTTAATTAAGTTTTCAACCAAACGGCGGTGAGCGTGATATACTGTTTCTGACACGTACAATGTTAAACTTGTGACTCGTTGTCTCACGTTGACAATAATATTTTAGACTGTCAGTTCGGCAATAAAAGGTCTTACCCTCCTGTTACCTTCTTTGAATTTATCCACCCTTGGGCATAATAAGCCGGATTTTTTGCATAAAACGCCTTTGACGAAGACTTTTTGGCACACTCACTCTAAACCGTATTTCTCGCTAGATTTGAGTGCCACCCGGGCGAGTGAGGTACTCCCTAATATTTGCCTTATAGGTATCTGCCGCCCCAAAGGATATGTGTTTTGCGCTGTTTTGGTCTGAAAACGGGTATGGACTTAACCTATTTAGGTCTGATTTCGGGTATGGTTTTCGAGGGAATACGAGACTGCATGAACGGATTTGTTGCTTCATTTCCAAATGAACAAGAAAGAAAGAGTAAAATGCGCTTCGAAATGAATTTTAAGAAATTTTTTCTTTGCATTTTAATCCGTTGTAAGTAATGATGACATAATTTCTGCCTGCGACAGGTCTGAAAACGACTGTGGAAAAAGACAATTTTTCACTGTGAAAAAAGGTCAGGATTAGAAGAACTGGGCGGTACACCCCCACCACGAAATGCCACAAATACACCCCTACACCCCCACCCCCACTACCCCCCCCCCCCTTTCGGGGGCCAGAGAAACCACGTTATAAATAGCGGAATTTATCGGCATTGTTCTTCCTTTGTCATGTTACTGTAGACACACTTCCGCCTCAACGGCGATAGGTCGTTCTCATATTCGATCGTTCTCATATCGGGCGACTTCGTAACGAGCCGACCCCTTTCTACAAAACTGACTGAGTGACTCATTTGCGTATTTCAACCCACAGCAATAACTTCGTGAAATAGCCTTCGGGTATCTGCGTGTTAAAAAGACCTAATATCAATCTTCCGAGACCGCAATACCGCAGGTTAAAAGCCACATCACTACAAATTCTTGAAGCCTACTTTGTCAAGTGGGTTAAGACATAGTAAACTTAAATAACAATTATATTATTATTGTTAATATTATCATTATATATTATGATTATCATTATTATTAGTATATCATTGTTATAATTATTATCACCATTGTTATTAGCTCAGTCTAAACTTAAATGGATACTTTCTTTTTTTTAACTTACAGCCTTTGCCAGACAGTGAAAGACCAGCGGGGTTCTACGTTAAGCCTTTCGGTTGTGAGACACCAGAGACACAATGTAAAGGAAGCCTTTTTAAAGCACTGACTGCATTGGGACAAGGCAATGTAGAAAAATGCGTTGCTAGTTCAAATAGCGGGAAGGAATGGTCTTTGAAGACATTTGACAAAGACATACCACATCCAGATACCATTTTTCTCATAACAGAGGTCTAGCGGCGTTGCATTTACGTGTAAAAGTTCCAGTTTTTGTGCAAATTAAATATTTTTTCAGGAAATGTTAAAATAAAGGAAATAGGCTTTGGTTTTCAAAGCTATGATCAGTTTTTCCCTTCAAAACCCAGTATAAATTTTTCTCGTGGGATTAAAAGCTCTGAACGCTTATGTTTTATCTTCTAAGAGGTATGAACTTTTGTAGCTCTTCGAGGCAAAAAAGTGTGTATTTTTTGTCTTTGTAATATGTAACTATGTTTAAATAAATTGTTTTTGATAAATTAAAGGTTTGGCGCCTACCGTAATTCGCATTTGGTTGTGCTTCGGTCAGAGGTCACGTTTTTTCGCCTGTTTTTAGTGTAATATTTACATTTGCTTCGCTTTGTCAGCGCTCGTGATTTCATTTACCCAAAAATTTTATTTCGCTAAGTTGAAGAAAAAAGAATGCTCTTTCAGACTAAACAAGCCTTGGTGTTCAAATTCATCTACCAACCCGCTTTCTTAGCTCGTGAAAAAGTGCTAAATTTTGACGGCTGATTAAGCGATTTTGAGTCAACAACTTTGAAAATTTCCTTAAAAATCTCTTGTCGACCAAATCGCGAACTAATCAGTTAAAATTATAGAGGAAAGATAGTAAAAATACGAAGTGTCATTATATTTTAGTAGCCAACTTTATTTTAAAATGTACGAGTTATATTACTGAGTATGACTGTAATTTTGCATGATTTTTGCCCATTTTAGGCCTCAGGAAGAAAAAAATTCGTTAAAAAATGTTATTCACTCGATCGTACTTAAACCAACGATTTTGTAAGAAGGGCCCATAGGGCTTTATTATGGCTGAGTTTGAGGCCAGGTCATTTTTCGACTATTTCCACGTTTAGCTGATATTTACGCGGAGCCGCTCCTAAAACCCTTAATCAGCCGCAATGAAGAGACATTTCTAGAGGGGCCAAGAAAGAAAATGCTATTGCATCAGAGGGCAAATCATGCCGACCAGAGAAAATCAATATGCGTGTCACGACCTCTCCTATGAAATATATTTAATAAGCGGCCAAAATTCACATTTGCTCAGTCAAAACGTTTTCCTCCAAAGCATAATCCACTCGACAGAGAAAACAATTCAATGGAACAAGAAGCATTTTTGCATGAGGTAAACTGAGTCGTGTATTTCCTACCGATCCCCCTTTTTTAGCCAGGCGAGATAACAATGACGGTCGGCCGTTGCACGGAACTTGAAGAACTCTTTGCATGAACAAACATCTGATAAATAAGGCTTTTGTAAAATCCTGTTGGTAGAACACAGAAAACATCCTTACCCCTGAGCAGCAACTCCAAAGCTTCCCTCTACTCCCATTTTAAAACAAATCCCAATTCTTGCGAGCAAATCCAGGCGATCAACATCCGTCATTTTACAGCGAAAGCTTTAGAAATTCATCACGGTAGGGAATATCGGGAATGACTTGTTAAAAAAATTACTTGACAGCTTGGTGACAGCTTGCATCGAAATTTAGCCAATGGGAATTGCCCGTGGCTGGGAGAAGTGGGTAATTCGAACGAATATCACGTATGCAAAACGGGCAGTCCGTATTTTTAGCGGCTCTCCCCAGTCTCGCTCTCTGTTTTCAGCCTCGTTCCCGACCTTTTGTTTGACTGCTCGCGCGTACTTGAAAACGCAAAAATACGGACTGTTTTGCAGTCTAGTTGGGTGACAGCAGGCGCGTCTTGAATAATTATAAGCTTGAGAAGAGGAACGAGAAGAGCGTACACGAGGATCAGAAGGGCGAGGAAGAGGATGAAGAGAAGACAGATGAGAAGGAAAAGGAGGAGGAATAGCTTGCTTAAGGGACTGTGCAATAATTATCAGGAGAGGGGGGGGGGCTGAAAAACTAGAGGGGGGGTATTACATAAAATAGCTGCCAAGATAGGGGGGCTCAAAGTAAAATCACTCATTTGACGGAGGGGGGGCCTTAAGTTTTATCCGAAATGTAAATAAAATTAAACGCAATAAAAGATTCTCAGGCATCATGATAGACTGTAACAAATATCAACACGAACAGCTGTTAAACGATTATTGAAAATATTCCATCAAAATGAAAAGCAAATTCACAACTGATCAATTTTAACCCGTCTTCTAATTAATTGAGCTGATCCTATGTAAAGCAAAAATCATGAACTTGTTTTTCAGCTTCTCCCATAAAACAATGGGGATCAAACAGATCTCGTAGACAAGCTTTGTCAGTTTTTGATGTGAATAAAAGTAATGTTTCTTCATCAACTGAATCGATTTGCTGAATTGCATAGATATGTGGCTCATAACAAAGTTCAACAGGCTCTCCTCCCAAGGATCTAAATATAATGCAAGCTCTTTTTCGTCTGTTATTTGAGGCGTTCAATCTCCTGTTCTTTGATTTTTTTTTCTCTGCTCCTTTCGTTTTAGATTTTGAGCCAATGTGGTAAGCACCCCGGTACTTAGCAAATGCTTTGTCTAAATCTTCAATCAAGTGATCAACATCCTTCTCGGTACTAGATGTTACATAATAATGTTTGTCATTATTGAAGCTGTGATGGCAGCTCAGTCCAGTTTTGAGTTTACATGTGGTGGGAATGTGTGTGGGGGGTGCGACGTTATTTTTAACATAACAGAGGGGGGTTAGAACTATTTTCTTTTTTTTTTGGAGGGGGTAGTGTCTAAGTTTTTGCTAGATAACTCTAGTTTTACAGCCCCCCTCCTGATAATTATTGCACAGTCCCTAAGCTTGCTGTTTTTTTTTTTTTCGTTTGTTTTGTTTTGTTTTTTTTTCACATATATGACTCCAACAGTCTTATTTTATTTAGTATTCACCAAATCAGTGTTCTGATTGGCTCCCGTAGCTCGGAATATCCTTATATAGTCACTGTTTTGAGATAGAATTCAAAATGGCTTCTCGTTTCAGGACATTTTAGAAAGACAAAATTTTAGCGGTAAATGGAGCATCCGCACCAACAAATACCAAGAAAGAGACAAAATTTGGCTTGTCAGTGTTAGCTGGTGAGAAGAAAAAATTTTTTCTTACTGAATTTGCAACAAAATCATAAAAAAATGATCTCGACAACACTATCAATTGAAACGTATACAAATTCTAACTAAGTGTCGTCTTTTATTTACAAAAAAGTTCCTTTTTGATTTTTATCCAACTGATTTGGTAAATACTAAAACAACTATCCCCCTCAGGGTCGGGTGATAGCTAGATATATACCTCGACACTTCGTGTTTTGGTATATACCCACCACAACTATTCACATTCCCTTCGGGGGATAGTTAATTGTGTAATATATCCAGGTTATTATTCAGACATCAACAATTCTCCAGAAAAAGCATATTAGCCTATGCTCTGTAAAACGCGTGTATAAAGAAGTAATTAGAAACTGGAAGTTTTGAAAGTTTCGAAATAGTTACACAGACCTTCCGTAAAAAAAATTGTGGTTAAAAAAATAATTGGACTTATTTCAGGTAGTACTCTGGCTTTATTTTATACTAATTCTTTTTTTCGTCAGTACGAAACTATATATTCAGGTTATTATTCAGGCATCAACAATTCTCCTGGAAAAGCATATTAGCCTATACTCTGTAAAAGGCGTGTATAAAGAAATAATTAGAAACTGGAAGTTTCGAACGTCTCGAAAAAAATAATTACACAGAGCTTCGGTAAAAAAAAAAAATTGTGGTTAAAAAATATTTGGACTAATTTCAGGTAGTACTCCGGTTTTATTTTATACTAATTCCTTTTTTTCGTCAGTACGAAACTGAAATAATCAGCTGTTGTTGTTGTCGTTGTTGTTTTACATTTTGGCAAGTAGACACTTTTATGCAAGGTGTCGGTAAACTTTCTTCAACAAGTCGAAATGATCTGTTGGTCAAACGCAGTGGGTCCAACATGGATATAAAGTGTTTCAAGCTGTTTTGATGCTTCGCCTTTGTTATTCTGATGGTCAAGGTCCTCTTTTTTTGTGGGGATTAGTAATTAATGTAACTTGACCTAGAAAACAACAAAAAAATAGCAAGTTCATTTCTTTTTGGATTTACCAAAGAGTATTTACCTCAGCGTCTAGGAAGGACGTTAAATGACGTCACAGCGTAAGAAGCTATCTTGCTTTTTGGGTTTCCAGTTGCCAAAATAATATTGATGACAGACTTGTTTTTTCTCTTTAATCAAAGATGTGCATAAACAAGCGATTAGCTGTAAATGCTTAAACGCATTTGACAAAACATCATTTACAAACTTTATTACTTCACAAGAATTAATGATAGCACTTTGAAATAGATCTTTTAGCTTGCATGTAGAACTGTTTCTTTCAAATGTCGTCCTATGCAAATGTGTTTACATGCATATATATGCGTTATTAATGAAAAAACAAAAGGCAAACTCCCTGTAGAACATCACGTGGTCTGGGGAAACAAACATACAAGCTAAAAAGGTTTATTGTGTAATTTTATTTTATTATTTTTTGGGGGGGGGCGATACTGAAATGTTGGAAGGAATCACACACACACAAACAGAAACGGGAATCATAACATGGAATGCAAACAATAATATATATATTTTTTCTTTCTTTCTTTCTTTCTTTGTTTTTTTTTTTGAAACGTTACCAAAAACAAGCCAAATTTCTTGCACACTTCATGGTGGTACAATACTTAAAAACAGGCAACCAAGATATGTGCTTTAATTAATGGCTCCTTTGTTTTTATCTGTCTATTCATTTTCCTGTTATGTGCGTGATTTTCTGAAATGAAACCAGGAGCTCCTGATGAAACTGACATATCGTCTGTGGATCGGTAAAAAGGAAAAATTATAACGAACGGGTATTTTAAGTTTATTAGGAAATGACTTCCAATTACATGACTGTGATGCACCCAGTCTTGAATCACGTGAATATTGCGGTTCTTCAGTGTTAAATGATATAAAAGGAATGTGTTACTGTTGTTTGTCAGCATCTGATGTTATAATATATACGAGGCCAACGTGAGTCCACCATTAGGTAAGGTGTTAATGTTGTTTTTAGCTCTTTATATCTTATTATAATTTTGACAAGTTTAACTGTTCT